ACTCATAACAGAGTTATAACAGTAAGAAATGAAGTAACTGTAAATTACTTTTTCTGCTCAACATAAAAATTATAATCAAACTGATATATATATGTATGTACCACATCTTAAAGCAAAAGATAAATTTTCACTTGCTGCTAAATTTAGAACACAACTAAATTGTAAACCCCCTACAATTGAGACATTAGGTAACAGTGGATCAACAAGCTACACTAATAACAGCAGAATAAAACAACAGTTAAAAAAAAAAAGAAACGTTTGATTTTTACAGAATTGCAAAAAAACATTATAATAAACCAAATGTTACCAGAATAAACTCAGATGAAAACAAGAAAAAAAAAAAAACACGTCACACACACACACAAACACAGTTTTTTTTCTGCACTTTTATAAAGGTTTACCTAGAAAAATTGAAGCATAAATTGATTTTTCTATAAAAATTTTTATTTTATTTTTGTTTTTCTGCTCATATAGCCAGAATTATTGTTGTTTTTAGTTCTGCTAACATTTAGGATCACGTAAGCAAGCTTTCCTGCCTAGTATCGTTGACGTCATTCTCCAGTAAACATAACCAATCGTTACGACGTTGTTGATTACCGAAACTGTAATCGTATGGTGGAGGTGCTGCAAACAGGAAAACAGTCAGTATATACAGTCAGTTAGATGACAATCAGAAAGGTGAAACAACTGTTTCGACACAACAATTTTTCATTTATTTAAAATGCCAAAAAAAAAGAAAAAAAAAAGGATGCAAAGATTAGAATAAAAGTAAAATTTATGCTGATAAAAAATATTGGCTCAAGTAAGACGGGAAGAAAAAACCGGAATTGATAATCAACAAGTGAAGCCGATGGCAGTAGCACAAAGAAGTCCAATTGAACTCAAACCAGACATTGGAGTTTTTCTAAGATAACCCCTAGACTATATTAGCATTTTTCAATTTATCTTTCACCTAATTCCTCACAAAAAAAAATTTTTTTTTCTTTAAAATTAATGGAAGCAAAAAAAAATTTGAATTGAAGACCTATAAGAAATTGTTCCCGTTATACTCCATCAAACAACATTAAGGTACCAACAGCAATTATTCGTTCTTCTTTCCTACCATTAAAAACAAAAATCCGTTTTATTCTTCTCCTCTCCTTAGCCTGTATTTATTTGTTGGTGAGAAACAATTTCTGAAATTTATTATAGCAAAAATATTAACAGTAAATAGCCTTTCAGGAGTAAACTCACATTTTCAACTCTGTATTTATGCGTATTTTTTTTCCCATCCATACCCAACTCCAATTAAAAAAACCCTAAGCCGTACTAATTAGCCACTAAGCTGAAAGCAATTACTTGACAAATATATGACCATAAATCAAAACGTTTTTTAATTGCGTTTGGGAAAAAAACGCGAACAAACAAATGAAGAAAGGAGGTCATCAGGAAAAAACAAATTCAAGTGAATTATTTAGTCAAAAAGAAAGAAAAAAAAACTGAGAAGAGAGGAAAAAAAACAAAGTCTTTGTTCAAAGATGTCCAAAGAAACTTTAAATAGGTTTTGAAAGAGAACAAAAAAAAAAAAAAAAAA